TATGGGACTTGACTTTTATAGAAATCTGTGCCAAATTTAATGGTGATCCTTTAGGGTACTACACACATGGGTGTGAGAGGGTATCACAAGGTCATTTTCCATATATATATATAATTTTTGAAAGCCTCTAATATCTGAGACATGTATAGGGAGTATCAGACACATACAATCGCTATCTGATTAGGGCATTTTTCTTAAAAATTTTATTCAAATATCTACAAGAGATCAACTATTTAACATTCTACTCATGATTTTCCCTTTAATTTCATAATACCAAACAAAAACAAATGATCATACATCTGTGTTGCAACGCACATGCAACAAAAACTTTGTCGAATGTTAATATAATGATGGATTTTTCACGTGTTAACACCCCATGAAATCCTATAGGTTAGATTTAGAATGGGAATGAATTGTCAAAATTACGTAAGTGCCCAATTTTTTATTCTATAGTTGTGAAATAGTAAGGGTATCTTTATCTTGGAAATTTTACATAAATATCTATTATATTTACTATTATTACAGAAATACCTTTTAGTTTCCGTTATTATAGATATGTCTGTTTTTCAATTACATAACAATTTTTCTAAAAACAGATCGAACTACCCATTTTTGGCTTTTCAAAAATCGAAATCTTTAAAAATTTTGATTTTTAAAAAACCGAAATCTTTACAATTTTCGGTTTTTAAAAAACCGAAATCTTTATAATTTTCGGTTTTTAAAAAACCGGAATCTTTACAATTTTTGGTTTTTCAAAAACTGAAAAATTAATAATTTTTCATTTTTTAAAATCCAAATATTTATAGTGCTTCCAAATATTTCTAGGCCTTTTTCAAAAAAGATGACGTTGTTTACTTTAATTATTCTAATAGGGGCCGTTTGGATACCTGGAAATATATTGTCTGTGAAATATATTACTGGCGTAATAAATTACTTATAAATGGACATTATTGTTTGGGTAGTATTTAGATGCAACTTGGGAAATACATTGTTATTGTTTGACTATGTCTGGAAGAAATATAGGAAATGCATTACCAACATTTTACCAGCACGTGCCTATAAACTATCATTTTTTTCTTTTTTGTCACAAAATTCCACTAAAATGCAGAATTATCATTTTCTCCTTTTTTGTCCCAAAATTCCACTAAAATACTGAATTAAAATCATCATCACACCATTCCAAAAAGATTTCTAATAATAACATTACCACCATTCCAAAAAGATTTTCTAATAATACCTTGTACCATTTTACAGTCATGACACTATTTCCAACTTATTTTAAGTACCTTTGGCACTTATGTGCAATCACATGTTTTCTCACATGACATTGGTTTTAACATGATAAGTTATTGGAACAATATGATTGAAATAACATGATTTTATTATAATAAGCCTTATTTTTATTATGACACTAAGATGAGGGGATCAGCTTAAAAAGGGTGGGATCACATTATGTTGTGTGAAATTTTTTATTATGATCGTGTTGTGTAATTTATTATTGATTACTGATTTTTATTTTTATTATTTTTGTTTTTATATGGCAGTTGATCCCTTCAGATGAGGGACATGCTTAAAGAGAGGGATCACCTAGTTATTATGAAGAGGGAGAGGATTTGGAAGATTTTTTTAATGAGGATAGGGTAAGTAAACATGGATGCGAAAGATATTTCAAAATTACCCGTCACTCTCATAATAGATTTTTCACCTATTACTGTGCGTAATAGATTTCCTGTTTTTGAAGAAATCTCGCGTAACCTCTTTCTATTTCCATACAATTAAGTGCACCCAAACAGTGAGTATTTCCTTGTAATCTATTGTCACGTAATAGATTTTTAAGTACCCAAACGCCCCCAAATGTAAATCAGATATGCTAAAGCGTCTTTTTGATTAGCACGCTTGCATAAAGTTTCACCTTGTGTGGACAACTTTTCCACTATTTTTTTAAAATGCCATCTTTTTGGAGTTTTTTTTTTTTAAAAAAATAGCCCCCCAAGAATGGAAGCCATGACCTCTTTCTACCGCATAAGAAACCAAATAAAAGGTTTTGCTTGTATTATAGATATTCGGTTTTTCAAAAACAAAATTTTTTAAATATTTCGGTTTTACATAAAATCGAAAATGGGTAGTTTCATATTTTTTTTAAAAAAATGTTATGAAGTTCAAAAAATAAATATATATATAATAACAGAAACTAAAAGTTATTTTTGTAATAATGGTAAATATAAAGGATATATATATATATATATATATGTAGTTTTCTCTTTTATCTTTGAAAATGATATTTTTGATATTTTCACCAAAAAAATAAGGGTAATTATAGAGTGGAGCTTGAAATACTTTATTACTATAAATACTATTTTTTTTTTAAAGTAAATATTTGAAAAATGTCTTCTGAGATGACAAACATATCCTTTGCCTTTTAGTAGAAATATCTACAATGTCATTCTCAATGACAAAAACGCTCCTACAGAACATAAGAATGAGAAATAAGGTAATTTTTGTGACCTATTGACTTTCCTGAGGTGTTACCAATAGAAAACCCCATGATACACAAATATTCATTTACCTGTCTTAATCGATTTCAAATATTGGGTTTGAGAAATTAAATTCTAGATACTATAAGCCTATCCTTAATTTAAGAGTGTGGTTTGTATAAGGTTGTAACATTAAATAATTGAAGTAAGGCATAACTTTAAACTTGTTATAAGATGTAATTTTGGAATTGTAAATTCTTAAGATGATACAATAATCTATTTTAATCTCTAATCATAAAATTTTAAATTAAGAAAATAGTTCAAATTAAGTATATCTATCTATAAATTCATAACAATCTTGAAAATGGATGGTCTAGACAATGTGTTGCCAAATGTATTTTCGGGGCTTGAAATTGTTTTTCTCTATATCCGCCTCGTAATATCAAGATGATCAATTTGATGTTTTTATAGCATCAAAACAACTTTGTTTTGGGGTTTTTTTAGCACCGTATATAAGCTCTTTCCTAAAAATTTCTTTAAATTAATGGGTCCAATTTAATGTAAAGGAAAATCTTTCCATGCGACAACCCACATGCATAATATATGTGACCTTGATAGATCTGAGTAGATGGCTGATATGGCTCGAGTCACAATGTCACAAGTTGGCTCTTGAGTGTCAGATCATGTTCCGATAGCTCATTAATGTAATTTTTTATTTTTATTTTTTATTCTATAAATCATTTTGTAGTGAAATTTGGGCATGATAGGGGTACACATGATAACTATAATCAAAAATATTTTTTATAATAAAAAATTATCAAAATATCTCTAAAACTTTCAGGGGTATTTATTTTTATAAAAAATATTTTTATATATTTTTTTACTGAGTACGGCCTCAAATTTTAGCAAAAATGATTTTATAGAAAAAATTAGAAAAATTTGTATTTTTTAAATAATTTTTTTTGAAATTTCGGTCTTTAAAAAATCAAAAATATTAAAATTTTGGTTTTTGAAAAACCAAAAATGGGCATTTCCATAAAAAATTGTTAGGATGTTGAAAAAACGGATATAGATATAATAACGAAAATTTATAAGCAATCCCGTAATAACAATGAATATAATGGATACATATGTAATTTTCTTTAAACAATATTCTAGTGTGACATTGTGACATCAGCAATCCTACTCAAAATAAATAAAGCGTCACTTCGTAACTAATCAAAAATTACAATTCAAGTGTTGAAAAACCTTTAAATCGATCATCACAGCTTGAACATTATGGTTGTGAGAAAAAATAGCATTTCAAGTTCTAAAAGTAGTGTATATTGCAACAAATCATATAGACTATCCATTTCACCCTAAAATTAAGTGTTTACAGATTCACAAGATCTGTACCAATTTTTTTAAGGAAACTCGTTTCATGCAAGCTGAACCGCATTTCTATATATTGCGGTCCAGAAAGTGTAAAGCATCCATCTTAAAGATGGATGCAAGTAGGTATTCCATCTAAAAATAATAGAAACTAACTGTCCAAATATTTTCTTACTAGAATTATTATTTTTAGTTTAAAATTTATTTATTTATTCATATTCATGATCTCCATGTTAGATATTAATTTAAAATTTTTATTATCGGTATTAAAAATTGATTTTTTTTTATGCTCAAGGTGCTTTTCGATCGAGATTTGAGATGAAGCTTTATTTTGCTTTCACAAACAAACGTAGGATGTATAGAAACCTCATCCTTAGACTTAATTTGAATACCGTTGGAGTCACAGATATAGATTTCCCAAATTTAAAAGGTACAGGTAGGTATCTTGAACCTTGTTCATCCTCTGTCTTAACTGCATGCGTTTGAGACTTTCAAGACGCGAAAATTGGACGGTTCTAAATTGGACACGTTTTCTATGGAGCCAGCCCGAATACTGTAGAAATGGAGGCTTGACAATAAGTATATTATTTAAATGTAATTTGATTTTAATTTTTTTAAAATATTATAATATGTAATATGAAGATCATGAATATGAAAAAGACTAAATTGAAAGCTAAAAATAATAATTATATTAAATTTTTTTTACACACAGTTAGTTATAATTGTTTTTACATGTGCTATCAATTTGGGGCCAAGTCGGCATATGTAGAAATACGGATCTCTTTAATAAATCTATTTTTAAGATGAATTTTTGGATTTAATTTTTAAAAATATATAATTGATAACATGTGAATCATGAATATGAATATGAATAAATAAATAAACTTTGAAAACCAAAAGTAATAATTTTAGTAAAAAAGCATTTGGACCATTAGATTCCATTGGTTTTAGATGAAACACCTTCTTGTATCTTTAAAATGGATACTTTAAACATTCTAGACCGCATATGTAGAAATGCCGTCCACCTTAAACAATTTTCCTCAATGCTCTATACTCTGGACCGCATATTGTAGAAATGCTGTCCAGCCTGCATGAATCAATTTTCCTTCTAGATGGACGATTTGAAGGGCGGAGGAGATGAACATCTACCACACACGCAAGCGTGACGACACAGTAAGGGCAATTCAGACACCCCGCCTGCCTCCGCGTACTCCCCATCCCTACATTTTCAGACCCCCCTCGACTGCCTCTCTTTTTATCATCTCTCTTATATCTTCCTCTCTCTCTTGCTGCATTTCCTTCTCTCTTGCTCTCTGTCTCTCTCTAGAGCCTCCCTGTTTCCAATGGCTTATTATGCAGACCAAATACAAAGGAGAACAGCACTGATCACTGGTCACCTGCTCCATGAACGCAGTCATTCCTCTTCTCTCGAAGCCTCACCATGTCTGCAATTCACCCCTCCTGAAGTGTCTGAGGGCTCCTTTTCCTTCGACAATTTGGAGCTTCGGAGGCTTTTGGATGGGCACCACGTCGAAGAGAGAGATTGGCTTCTCAATCTCATGGCTGGATGCAATTACTTTTGCCCTAGGGAAATTGGGGGCAAGGTGTTTGTGGGTGCAGACTATAACCAGAGCATGAAGCAACAGAGGGAAGTGACGATGAAGAGGATTTCCTTTCTGCTCAGCAATGGGGTTTTTGAGGGTTGGCTTACTCGTAAGGGTGTGGAGGCTGAGCTGAAGAAGCTTGCGTTTCTTGAGTGCCTTGGGATTTTTGATCATTCTCTTTCTATTAAGCTCGGAGTCCATTTCTTTCTCTGGTAATTGGCCATTATCTCTCCCTGGTAGCTGTTTTTTTTTTTTTGTCATTGATTGTTAGTTTTTCTTATGGATTGTTAATTATCATAGCTTTTTTATAGAATAAAAGAGCGATTGAAGGGACTTTTTATTATTGATTGTTAGTTCTGATAGCTGTTTTATATAATAAACGAGCAATTGAAGGGACATGTGGGTATTGGGTTTCTGGGTTTTATTGGTTGTTGAGTAGCTATAGGGTAATATTGCATTGGAGCTTTTGATTTGGCAATGATTGATATCGTTTCCTCAGAAGTTGGTGGAATTGTAGAAAGAGACATTGGGCTGTTTTAATTTTTGTTTTTCTCCACAGAAATTTTGGATATTTTCGGATGGTTTGAAGAAAAAAAGAAGAAGAAAGAACTAATATTAGTTGAATGTTCTTTTCTCTTTTGCGGTCGCTAAGACCTTGAATAAGACAGAGATCAATATGAATTTTTTTGCTCCCTGCATCAATATATGTCCTCCCTAAGTGAACCTATGCCTGAAACAATCCCTCTCCATTTGCCTATGGGAGTTATTAAACTCAACTTTTTCAGCAATCATCAGTCGGCATGGAAACAAAATTTCATTTTAAATTTGCAAGAAATTGGGGCTAGCTTATAATGCCATGTCTTTAGCATCACAACCATCCTCTTGGCCTTGAGCATCGCAAAATTATTGATGTAAAGTCCCCAACCATGTCTCAATTCATGTGTTTTTCTCCTTGGGGCAACATCTATAGGATCATTGAATTAGCAATGTACCAAATAAAAGTCCTCAACTAGGCAGGCCTGGGATTTTTCTTCTGACCTCCATTTTATAATAAGATTCAGATATATAGCAAGATTTAGGTTTGCTGCCTGATAACTGCCCTGGAGTTACGTAAACCACCCATTGAGTTATGATTCACACTGACACACGTACACATGAAGGGCCCTTCCCCTATAGGTCTTGGGCCTCCATCATCTCTCAAGGAGAACTTGATTACTTCAATTTTTCTGCATGAGCCATTGCAAGGCTGAACAAAGGCAATGGTTCCAGAGTAATTTTCTGTAATATTTCAAAAGCTCTACTCTAGACCTTGTTTTCCTTCTTCCATTTCATCCCCCTTCATACCAAGTCCATCAGTCCACAAAGGTTAAAGAGCCTCATTTCTATGCACTAGATGGGTCCACTTGGAACCTCCTTTTCATCCCTTTAAATAAGGGACTTGAAGCCAACTTTAGGCAAGCTATCATAGACATGGAGAGACTTGAACCAAACGAGAACTTGTCATGAGAATTTAAGAACTTCTCTCATACTTTGCTCTAGTTTCTCGGGGATTTTTTTTAATTGTCTTCCCACATCAGGGATCATACTTGTAGTGACTATGTATGAGGCTTCAATTGAGAATCAGCCATTTCATTTAGACTTGTTCATTCTAAATTTTGAGGAAGCATGCTCATCTTACTAGGAGTATCCTTCCCAGTTTTTGGAAACTAGGCTTACTACACCTTCCAAAATCCAGGAGAGTGAAAGAGCTGCCATTTTCCTACCGCCATGCATGCTGACTCGTTTGATGCTTTCTGTAGAGGAGCCTTTGAGCTTGGTTTCTTGGATAATGGGAATCTAACGATAAGGAGTGTTTTGGAACTTTGGATTGTGTGGCACTTACAAATATGTTATCACGTGGATCAAAGGCCTCATGGAGTTGCATAATGACCACATATTATGTCCTGTTTAATTGACTTATGTCCTTTTGTGATAGTAAAATTTATTCATTCGACTTGTTTTAAAATTATCTGAATTAGAGTGGTTTTAAAAAGAAAAAATAATTTTTTTTATTGAGAATCTGACAGAATATCTGTAATTCATTATCAGAAACGACAGACTTAATTTACATAAGTTATTTTCTATTCACTGTACATTTGTTGCTGAGCTGTAGTAGCTCCTGTTTACGGGCATGGAACTATGTTCTTTTTAGTTCCGTGTGAAGCATGTCGTCTTTTTGTTTTGGTGGGACAATCAAAATAATATTTTAGTTATGTCTGTTTATCAGTAATTACATAATATCCTGCTGGCTTAATAACAGGGGTGGTGCAATCCAATTTTTTGGTACGAAGAGACACCATGATAAATGGCTGAGAGACACAGAATGCTATGCTGTCAAGGGTTGTTTTGCTATGTCTGAGCTTGGCCATGGAAGTAATGTATGGTGATAGTTTTGATGTACTTTATGCAACTTCAACCTATTACCGTCAAAAACAAAAAAAAGATGTACTGGATGCAAATAATACTAAAAAGTTTCTTGCTTTGGTTTACGCAACGTTAACCTATTACCGTCACAAACAAACAAAAGATGTACTTGAGGCAAATAATACTAGAAAGTTTCTTGCTTTGGTTTGGTTGTTTGATGCTCCTCTACTTGATGTATGGCATCTAGGTTCGTGGAATAGAAACTGTCACCACTTACGATTCAAACACAGGAGAGTTTGTTATAAACACTCCTTGTGAATCTGCTCAGAAATACTGGATTGGAGGAGCTGCCAATGTGAGAAACACAACCCATTTTTTGAATCTGTTGTTGTGTGGGTCCATTGATAAGTTCATATAGGGTTATGAATGTATGTTTATGTTCATCTTGATAGAGGCCTCGTTGCTTTTTTCTTCAGGATATGTCTCTTATGCTACTCTTATGCAGTCGTTGATTGCAAATTGACATGGTTTGCTTTGGTTATGTCATTGGCAGCATGCAACGCACACAATTGTTTTTTCTCAGCTCCATATAAATGGAACCAACCAAGGTGTTCACGCATTCATTGCACAAATCAGAGATGCTGAAGGAAATATATGCCCAAACATCCGCATAGCTGATTGTGGTCATAAAATAGGACTAAATGGAGTTGATAATGGTCGAATATGGTAACGTTATGATTCCGTGGACTTGAGTTTGAAAGTACATGCTATTTGTTTCTTATTATAGATTAAGTCCAGAAATGAGATGTATTTGTTTGTTTTTTGTGGCAGGTTTGATAATGTTCGGATACCTCGTGAGAACATACTAAATTCAGTTGCTGATGTTACCCCAGATGGACAGTATGTTACTGCAATAAAAGACCCAGATCAGGTTATAGGAACTCGAGTCCTCGTCTTGATTCTCTAAAAACAACAGTTACAAGATTTGAGCTTTATTCGATAATACATCTTGAAGGCTATCAAAATTCATTTTGTGGCAGTGTTTTACAACCTGGATCGGGTGGCCTGATCGGTCTCTGGCTAGACCTATAAGGATCACCAATGCTGGCAGAGTTGGATGGATTCTCTAGTGTGGAAATCGTTCCAAACAAATATATAACAAGAAGCAAAAATTCAGAAAAGAGTAAATGAAGGAAAACATGATTTAAAATCTATTTTAATTAGTTTACAATGATTTTAAATCTGTTACAATTATTGTTTAAAATGACCTAATACATGGATCAGCTGGTTTAAATGATTTTAATCTGGTTTAACCAAAATGAAGAAAGAAAACAAATAAAAAGGAGCCGAAAAAGTATGTAAGCCAAATTAAATGATTAAAAACTCAAAACAAAAGATTTTTTTTATTTTCTTTTTAAATGATTCCAATCAATCCAAATCTATTTGAGATTTGAATTAAAACATATTTATTTAAATAAACATATATCTAAGCCTCAAAGCTCTTGTTTTCCACTAGAGATCAAAGTTCAAATAAATGATTTGTTTAATTAAACCAAAAATATCGGACAATTGTACGTCTATCAAAGAGGAATAACTTATGACAAATTTGATTCAATTTGGTTGAAAAACGAGAGAGTCATCATCATTTTAGCCTTTTCCTAATTAATTGGGGTCGGTTACATGAATCTTGGTTCTCCATTCTGCTTTATTAAAGGTCATATCCTCAGTGAGGCCATAACTCCCCATATCTTTTCGGACTACTTCCAACCATATTCTTTTCGACCTACCTCTTGCCCTTTTCAGTCCTTCCATTTGAACTAACTTGCACCTCCTAACATGTGTTGTACTTGATCAGTGCCACACATGGTCAACCCAACTAAGTCTACTCTCTCTCATTTTATCGCCTATTGGAGCCACGCCTAAATTCTCTCGAATAGATTCATTTCAAATTCTATCCCTTCTTATCTTGCCACTCATTCATCTCAACATCCTCATCTTCGCTACATTCATTCTATGGATATATTGTTTTTTGTCTGCCCAACATTCTGTCCCATAGAGCAAAGCTGGTCTCACAGTTGTCCTATAGAACTTTCCCTTCAGCCTAATTGGAATGTAACGATCATATAAAATTCTAGTTGCGCATCTCCATTTGGCCCACCCAACTCTAGTTTTGTGTGCGATATCTTCCTCAATCTCTCTATTTTCCTGGATTATCGAACTAAGATATCAAAAGCCGATCTTTTTTGTACTTCCTGGCCATCAATCTTGACTGAAAAAAGAGAGAGTAATAAACAATTTATCATTTTGGGCGTCGTAGTCGGTTAAAATTCCTTTGTCATTTATGTGATTAGGGGTTTTGATCCAAAAAGATACTATAGAAAATCTTGTAGAGTTTTTAAAAATGAAGAATTTGGAACAAATTTAATTGCAAATGGTTTTGAAAACAACAAAAACAGTGGATTTTGAAAAGTAAAAAAATAAAAAAAATTTAGAGGGTGATTAGGACAATTCCTGATCCCAGGGGAGTTGGCCCGCCCGGCCACCCGCATAATCCGATCTGGATTGGAATTTCCAATCCATTTCACATGTTTTGAAACACTTTTTTTTTTTTTTTGGTGATCTTTTGGTTTTTGGAGATTCAAGTTGCAACCTTGTATTTAGGAATTTAAAGTTCTAAAACACATGTTCTAGGGGACTAAGGGAAAGAGGGAAATAAAGAGCAGGAAAAAGAGGGGGTTGGGGGGGAGTTGGATTGGGGGTATAAATCCTCAACAAAAAACGCAATAAAAGAAAAAGTAATTGGAAATTGATCTGCTTCTTCTTTATGCTTGTTTCATATTATGTGGCTCTTGTTTAGGATAGGATATATGTCGTAGGTATAGTAGATATGGCTACATCAAGCTGCAACAAGTGTTCACAACTTGTAAATGAAATTCTTTTGTTCGTATTTCAGAGGTTTGCAGCCTTTCTTGCCCCATTGACATCTGGTCGTGTTACTATAGCTGTAAATGCAATTTACCAATCTAAGGTACACCTTTTACTTGGATTAAGATCCTTGCTACTTCATTTGGAGTTCTCTTGTTTTCTTGGATTCAAGTGCAGAATGCAACATTGTTCTTGTTTACAAGGATATTAGTTTTTTTATTATTTGTCACTATTACACAGATTGGATTAGTGACTGCAATTAGATATGCGCTGACCAGGCGAGCTTTCTCTGTCATTCCCAATGAGCCTGAAGTGCTATTGCTCGACTACCCAAGTCATCAGCGCCGACTTTTACCTTTGCTTGCAAAGACGTAAGATGTATTGATTTCTTTTTTATTTTGAGGATAAGTAGTTAACGAAATTGTTATCGTTGTACCAATTTGCTGCTTCTTTCTTGACCATCTAACAATCTTTAATATAATGTTGTTCATTGGAAATCCTTGTTTTAACACTGCCTACAACTGGAGTTTAAACCAAGTTTGCTTGTACCTAGCTGCTAGATTCTCTGGTCTATCCAACTTGCCTATCTGAAGACTAAAACCCCAAAATAGACAACAGAAAATATGTCTTTACATTTGATGGGAATAGAATAGTTATGATGAATCAAGTGTTTCAAAAAATGGATTTGCAAGGCAAACCAGCCTTTCAAAAATCCGGTCCAAGTCGGTGAACCAATGATCCGCATCGGCAAAATGAATTGCGTCTCTAGTGTAAGAATTGGTCCCATAAGAATTAAATCGTAATTTTAATTTTGAAAAAATAAAATTTTTGACAAAAATAATAAAAAATGAAATGGATGGGAACATGGAAACTCAGATGATCTGGATCAGTTAGTTCCTTGACAAACTCGTGAGGTTCTCAGATGGAACCGGGCTAGTCTGTCAAAATCAGACCGTTTCCCAGTTCTGACTAGGAACCGGATCAGCGCCCACCAATTCCTGATTTGGATAGTTGATTCGTGATCCAGATTGGTCAATTTTGAAGCATTAGTTGAATCTATCTAATTTGGTTAATTTGTACGCATGGATTTGATTTTGACTTGGCCGTTGACACTAAGAGTTTGTAGTACATTTTTATTTACTTTCTTCTCAATTCATGTAGTTCATTCAGTGGAATAAAATGAGAATGATATGCATGTTCTTTTCGATAAGAAACTCACAAAGAACATTTAATGATTTATCTGCACAATAAGCTTTATAAGCCATCCCTGTAGGGAATCACTTAACTAATGATTTTGATGATTACATCTTGTTTTTTTTTTTTGGGTGCACCCTTTTGTGCATGAGAGTTTATAATTAAACCAAAAAAGGAGCGTACTTATGACTGACTACTAATTTGATCAGGTATACTTGTTTATAAATTTCATGTCTAGTTTGCATATAGAAAAATAATCAATGTGCTGTGATGAGCTTGTAGACCTCAGGTGCATGAGTTGTAATGACCAATCTCCAGAATACTATACGCATATGACTCCACAAATGATAAGTAAGCACTTCATGTATGTAATATTGGCTAGAGAAATGCTTCTCCAGCACTAGCAATTGCTAGAAAATAATATGACGCTCGCATATTTATTTAGCAATGTCTTGGGGACACAAATTAAAAATGCCATACTTTCCTTTTGGCTGCATTATCGTATCTTGTTTGATGATTCTAAGCGATAAATTGACATGGATTATGTGCTGACTATGGGCATAAATCTTAATTACTAGAAGAGCCTTCGAAATTGCGATACCTGGGAACGGGCTGCATCCATTCTTCTAGGGGGTTTAACTTGAATTAGAAATGACTATTCTGTCATAGTTGCCCCTCAAAAAATCTGAAAACAAAGGTACAGAATATGGCATGTTTGGTTCCAAGTCACATTGATGTGACCTTGTTGAAGTTTTGGTCACGTTAACCTGTAGCATTACTCTCCAGTCTAGCAACAAATTACTTATTTACGTTGCATAAAATTCAAGTGCATAACTTTATTCATCAATACTAGTCATTTTGAATTATGTTCGTCTTAGTTATAATTTGGTGTTTCTCTTATCTATAACTAAAAGAGTTCAAGTTAATTGTAGGCCATAGTTGATGGGATTGGGACCGAGTTAGGAGCATGATAGGGATCGGGACTGGGGTGATCGTGACAGGCTAGAAGATCCCTATAGTTGGGAGAATTGTTTGTACAATGCATATGTCAAGGATCGGTCCCCAAATGATGGGGATCTTGATTCCGACGTTTCGGAATCTCGATTCCAACCTATTGGGATCTTACTCCTAGAATTAAACAATATGTATTTCTAGGACTATACATGCTATGTAAAATAGGGATCTCTTTTGTTTATTCTACTAAAACTATAGTTGCATTGCTAGCTGACTCGAAATTCATCATTTTGATATCTTGGTCTTTAAGATGGGGATCGAGAATCCTAACAATGGGGATCAAGATCTTAAAATTTAGAAATGAGATCCTTTGAAGATCCCTTTCCTGAAACATGGGAACGAGCATAGCCGGATCGTCGCCTAGGTTGGGAGATCCCAACAACCATGTTGCACACTATTTACATGGTTTGGAACTATGCCGTTGGGAACTTCCTTAGATCACCACTTGCCTATTGATAATATTATGAACTTGCCAAAAAGTTTTCTGCATTAATCATTTAATAGCCTATCTAAACATCAAAGCTCCAATGAAAGCCATAGAAACTTCTACCAATCAAAGAAGCAAAATAGAAGGCCATACCTGTATTCTCTCTCTCAACCTCGGTCTGACGTGCCAAGAGAGAGAGAGAGAGAGAGAGAGACTTCCTTGGGAACTAACCAAAGCCTTAGCCAAGTTCTCCAAAAAAAAATTTGGTACACTGTCAGAAGCAAAACAACTTCTCTGTGTTGTCTATTATTTCGTAAAATCTGAAAAGTTCATGCAATTTGTTTGAATTTAATGAGAATGGGTTGATTCACATTTAGTTAGAGTGAATTTCCTCTGAACAATATCTTTGTGGTAGTATTCATCATGTTGAAGACATATGAAAGAGCTCAATATCTGAACTGGATGTGGAATTGTTTCCTATCCTTGAGGTCTCATTAAAATGTAATAAAAGTTCCAGATGTTCTAGTTTCAATCATAAACTTCTGGAAACTCTTGCCTTGTTCAATGCATATATGGCTTTTTTTGAGAATGTTCACTTGTATTACTAAAAAGAGTTGTACATAAATGAGGCCACCCAAAAAAGGGCCGCCCTATACAAGGCTTGGACTTTTGGTTTTTGATATATGTTTTATTAATGTTCTCTAGACCAGGGACTCATAGGCTAACGTCCTCCTGCTTCCTTATTTCAGATTAGCCATGAGCTTTGCAGGAAACGTTCTGAAGAAAATATATGTAAATAGGAGCCCTGCAGCTATCAAGACAATACATGTTATTTCCAGTGCCTTCAAGGCCACATTCACCTGGCATAACATGAGAACACTTCAGGTCAGTATGGATCCTTATGCATGTCTAGATCATTACAAGTAGCTATGAAGTGAGCTAAAAGCAATGATATTTTCAGGAATGCCGTGAAGCTTGTGGTGGACAAGGATTGAAAACCGAGAACCGTGTAGGCCATTTGAAAGCTGAACATGATGTGCAGTCCACATTTGAGGGTGATAACCATGTGTTAATGCAACAGGTAATCTTAGAAGCATTACTTTTAGGGTGATTGTTGTATAATCCTATAGATTATGATATAAGGTGCTCCTCCAATGGGTATCCACTATCTGTTCTTGTTAATGGACAACGGTGATTGGCAGTAGTGAGACCCGTCAGCACATTCACCTGGGAACAGCCAATCTCCACCATCCATCATCAGGAATGGATGTAGATGGCCCTTTGGTGGCCCCTTTGGAGTTGTTCTCTAGTTGATTATGGTATATTTTTCCTTTCATTTATTTTAAATATTGATGGCAAGTATTGTTACTTATTATATTGAGTATTGGAATCAGGTCAGTAAGGTACTCCTGGGAGATTATATGGCTGCTCAAAAGACGAAGAAACCATATAAAGGATTGGGCTTGGAGCACCTGAACGAACCGAGCCCTGTGATCCCATCTGTATTGACCAGCTCTGTCTTAAGGAGCTCCCAGTTTGAGGTAAGAAAATGCTCAGATTTGTTTTCAGGTCGCTTCTCAATTGTAAAACTTGGGTCTCTTTCCAAGTTAATGTGACCCGAGCACTACTCGAGTTTTAAAGACCTCTGCATTTTACTATGGTTAAAAAATTGGCTACTATGTCAAACTTATCAAATTCTATCGAGTCCATTTGACATTGGATAAGCCAAATCCTAGCTGAGGTCCTTAGTGCACTTTGATTTATATTTAAAAAAAACAAGGTTTTCAGAACTTGCAATAAGCTTTCAGAGCATATAATACTTTTTATGATATGTCTAATAGGTTGGACTTTTCTGCCTGAGGGAGCGTGATCTATTGGGGCGCTTTGCAGCTGAAGTTTCTCAGTACATGTCACAGGGATACCATAAAGAGAATGCTTTCATGTTGGTATGTTTCTTTAGGATGGCTCATCCTTCGTCCCCCCCCCTCCCCTTCCTCTCTCTCTCTCTCTCTCTCTCTCTCTCTCTCTCACGCACACAACTCTATCTTTGCTTTCAGACCTATCAACTTGCCGAAGATTTAGCGAGGGCCTTCACAGAACGTACGATACTGCAATACATTTTGGATGTTGAAACATCTATGCCTGGCGGTCCTCTTAAGGTAACATGCCGAAGACCTCTAGAATTCACCAAAAGTGTCCTTAGACCTCTCTAGGCATATTTGTTTCTTTGTGAATGGCTTTGGTTTTATAGCTTAGTTAGCAGATAGCACTGTGGATTTTCTTTTTCAAATATAATTATTTTTATTTGGCTTTCACAATGAGAAATTGTTTTCTTGAAAGAAAAGGAAGAAGATGAAAGTTGGGCAGTCCTCTCCAGACTACCAGCTTTTGAGTGCAATATCCTTGGACTGTATTTTATGCAGACCCAATGTTTGCTAGAACTCTCGAGCAAGCTTTTTCATGGTGGTCATTCATAAACGAGTTAAGGGTTGCAATTACTACAACATTTGGATGTATCTAATATCTTTGAGAAAGTGACCCCTCAAAATCTGGGAGTATGGGAGGTATCCACTAACCCCTTGAGAGAGATTTTTAAAAACCTCTTTTAAAATAAATGATAAAGATAAATAGTATTTTTGGAAAAGCTTTAATGAGATAAATAAATAAATACAAAAAAAACGTATGTAGCGCTATGAAGTCCCATGGCTACACTTGTGCCAGCAACACCTCCGACATAGCTATGAGGGCTGAATTCATCGATATTTTGTCATAAGGTTTGTGCAACTTAATGGATTTATCCTTTATGAGCATATCCTCGTTCTGAGACTTTTTACGCTACTGCGGTTATAAATCCAATTATAATCTCGTCATGGAGTTTTCACACTATTGCAGTTTTTCTCACTTGTTCAATTTCGATGTGCTCCATTTTTAATCAATGCGATGGCCTTCTGATTATGATAGAGAATTGAAACTCGTCCATTTGACTCTATCTAGCTTCAAATCCTTTATGAAGCATCTAAGATGGGATGAGTAGTTCGATGCTATATGCGACATACTTGGCTTTCCATAGCATTACCGAGTGACACAATTATGGTTTGTGCTTGACCAAAGAAAAACATCTACCTCTGAATAGGAATACATGTCTAGAGGTTGATTTTCTATCATCCAGGCCTTGTGCAAAGCGCGCATCTGCCTTCTAACCTCTTAATGATCAGCTTGATAAACTACTTATAGTTCTTGGTTTTTTTAATATACCTGAGTTTCTTTTTTAAGGCTCACCAGTGAGCAGTCCCAAGGTTACTTTGGAATCTACTTACAAGACAGACTGCATAACTCAAGTCCGGTGTTGTGAACAATATTGCATACATTATATGCCATATAGCTTGAGCATAGAATTCTTTCCATCTCAGTTTTATAGCCATCCCCTTGATGGACAAATCTCCTTTTATAATTTCAGACCATTACAAACAGATGTATGTATAGCCTTATAGTATTCCATCTTAAATAATCTCATTAAAATGCTCTCTAGATAATTATCCTGAGATAAAATAGGAGTCCCAAACTCCTATCTCTTGTTATCTTAATGCCTAGGAAAAGGAAAGCGTATCAGATGTCCTTCATCTCAAAGTGGAAACTAAGGCAAGACTTAGTATGGTAATCATACCTATGTCATTCCCAGCTAACAAAATATCATCTATATATAAAGATAATGTAACAAAATTTCTTCCACTATTCCAAAGATATACATACTGATCTAATTTATTGACTACATAACAAGTTTCTATGATTGCATTTTGAAGAGTAAAACACCACTGCCTAGAAGATTGTCTTAAACCACCATATAAAGATTTCTTAAGTTTGTAGAGCTTTCTTGGCATTTAAGTTCTCTATTAATTAAGTTGTTTTAACTTCCATATAAGATAATTTTAACTCATAATATGCAACTATTGCTAGAATGATCTTGATGGATGTGAATTTGGCTATTGGAGGACAAGTCTCCACATAAACTATACCCTTCTGTCGAGTAAACTTTTTCGATACTGGCCTAGCTTTACATTTTCTATGATCCATTTGGATTTAGCTTTTCCTTTAGGACCCATTTGCAACTAAGGACTTTTCTATCTCTAGGGAGATCATCTAACTCTCAAACTTGATTCCTCTCAATGTAATCAATCTCATTGTTCATGGCTTGGATCCACTTAGCTGAGTTACGTGACCTAGTGGCTTCACTGAGGGGACAATTTAGCATGCTTCATCATAGACCTGGCAATGTCCATTAGGGTCCTATTGCTTCTCTCAACTACATCATTCCATTGTGGTGTATAGGGCCTAGTGGTTTGGTGAATTATACCATGCTTCTTACAAAATTGAGAAAATAAGTCAAAGCAATGTTCACCTCTCCTATTTGTTCTAAGAATTTTGATATGTCTACCTTGTTGGTTTTCAACTTCAACTTAACTCTTTGAATATTTTCAATGCATTTGATTTTCTATTAATAAGATATATGTAATAATATCTAGAAAAGTAATTTATAAAGGTCATGAAATAATCCATACCCCTATGTATCTTCTACTTTACATATATAGTGTTGTGGAGTATCTTTGACCTATTTCCTTTTGGAGAAGACTTCCTAGTTAGCTTACTGGATATACATGGTTCACAAATTTGAAGATTAATTCCTCTTAAGTTGGCGAGCAAGCATATTTTTAACTAATTTTTACATTCTATTTTTATTTGTATGTCTCAATCTCAAGTATCAGAAACAAGAATCATTCATATCATCATGAACACCAAAAGAACATTGGTATAAGCATAACAAGAGGATCGTCCATTAATAGCCAATTGGTACAAAACTTCATAACCGTTCTTATCTAACCTAGGAACAAAAATCAAATTGCACAAGATATTGGGTGTGCAGAAAGTATCAGTAAGCAAGAGATTTGCTTGTCTAGGCATACACAGCTTGAAAGTTCCTGCACAAAGTACGTAATGATAATGTTATTTCCAATGTATATCCGTTGCTTGCGGCCTGTGATCTCCCTCAATGTATAAATCCATCCTTGGTCCTCAAAACATGCGAAGTAGAGGTTGAGTCAATCTACCAGTTCTTCAAATCATGGGCGGCAACAAAAGATTTTGAGATAACGCATATCAAGTCCTTCCTCTTGTTTTGAGTATTGTTATTGTTGTGATGAGCATTGTTAGTATCCCAATTCCCAAATTATTTTTCAATTTGGGACAATTGGCCTCGATTACCCAGGTTACTTACAATAAATGCATGCCCTATCAGATGAATTTTGGAATGGCATCTGCTTTTGATTTTTAAATTCTTTCCCTTTCCCTTATTGTTTTTATTCCACACATTGTTGTTAGTTTTTCTAGGGTTTTAGGAAGAGGAACTTTTGGAAAAAGTGAAGTTCATTGGACTTCTTTGTATTTCTTCTCTCAGTGATGCTAAGGTGCATAGGAAAGTATAAGGGGGGGAGGTGGAGGACAGTTTAGGACAATAGACACTTGCATGCAGTCCGGGATTAGATTCCCAATTGCACCAATGTCATCTGCGAGCAAAGTCATTTTGTTGACATGCTTGATGACTGAGGCCATTCTTTCGTCCCACAAGAATTGTACTTTTCAAGTAGAAGCTGAACATGGACCTTAGAAGTAGTCCCATATTTTTTAAACAAAACATCCATCATATTTGAGGTTGTGTTATGGCCCTAATTGAGTCATCCTCCATAAAACTTGACACTGTTGTCTTAGTGATATTATCTTCTAGTTAATTTTCTAATCCTCCGAACTTGGTCAATGGCATTGGCTCGTATGACCTGTAGATCTGATGTTGAGAACATGGTCTATCCTATCTTGGAGGAGAATATAACTAATTTTTCTCCTCCACATTCAAAAGTTCATTCTGTTCAATTTTTCTAGTTTCCATCAGTCCGTCATTACTAGCCTAGATGCCATTGTTGTTTGGGTAAAGATAATATGGCTAGAATCCTGAAAGATGCAACTAAAAGCAACCAAACTAAAAATTTTAATTGAGTTTATGCTTGTAACAGACTGGCTGCGTTAGTAGAAACAATGGTTTACTGACTTTTCCTTTGTCCCTTTTCTCTGAGATACTCAAGGTTGGCCATGGTAGTGACCGTGGATGGCGGTGCGGGCCTTTTTTGTCGAATAAAGCCGGTCATAGTAAAAAAAAACAACCAACGAACAGCCATTGTAAATTCGTATGGAGCAATCAACGAATTCCGGCGAAATAGAAGATCTACGTGACCAAATTCTCCTGCTCAAAAGATTCTCTCTTTTGTTCTTCATTCTCAACAAGAAAGCATCAACAAAACGGTATTTCCAGCCGAAGTTGCAGACCCACTTTTTGAAGTTCTGACAAGATTGTCAGAGTCAAACACGACATGGACGTCATACTACACAACACAAGCAGAGACGAGAGGGAGCCGACTATGTAGTGCATATGAAGAAGCACATTTCCTAATTCTTGGTAAGCTTTCTCCCCTGCTACTAAAGAAAAGAAGCCACTTTACTGGTCCGTCAGTCATAACTAAGATGATCCCTATATTGTGGACTTCGTGCCTAGTGGGTTTGAACCACGGTTCTCTAGTGTGTGACGCAGCATATGATGTTTTCTCTATCCAGGACTGATTCATGTTTGTACCCAATGGTATTGTGAACCTATGCATCATTCGCGATCCCTTAAAACTTACTATTGCAATTCCTTCCTCATGGAAATGCGCTTCCCTAAGACAAGGATTGCGCTCCCTTGATATGGGATCATATGGGCAACGATCCTAACCACAAGGAGCTTCCAGCAATCCGCAGTTTTGCGGACCTGAGCCAGCTCCCGCTCCCTGGAACACACCCGCACCCTACAACTATGGCACACCCACATCAATCTCTTTCACTTACAGGTTTACTCGATGCAATCAAGCCCTGAAACAAAGGTGGAGTAAATTGAGAAAAGGGGCTGACAGTCTGAGAAAACAGGCACGAAATCTCCCCACCAAAACTAGCTTTTCAACTGTGAACGGGTTTTTTTTGTCTTTCAGTGACTAAGTTTGAGCCTATTTAGGAGGAAGGTGGAAAGATAAATTGAGAGGAGGAGGTTTAGAGAGACTAAGCAACACCAAACATTCACTATTGGTTGGAATTCAATAGAGCGAGAGTAATTAGAATTCTGTCCTTCAAGTACTGGTGTTTCAATCTCGTGCACCTACTCAAAACCAGTATAGAGAGAGAAGGGAGTTGTTTTTCAGCAGTTCCTGCTCTATAAACCTAGCAATTCAAAGAGAGGAGGAAAGAGAATGGTGGACTGATTTCTTTCTCTCTTTCTTTATTTCATGGATTCTCCAAATATCTACTTACAAGCTCGAACCCACCCACCAAAAAAAACGAAATAAAGGAAGAAAGAATATTCTTCCCAAATGAATCTGTTGGTGGATGGTGCACTTTCTCTAAGTTTTGCAGCAACAATTGTCTCCAAGCACTTGTGTCTCTTGAACATCACCCTTATGTGCTGAGAAGAAAGAAGTGCTGATATCGTTGGAAGGAGAGGAGGGTCAAGTGCTCAAAGCTCAAGAAGAAACTTTATGAGGAGAAAGGGTTTTGGGACACCCTTTCACTAAAATTTCCCTTCTCTTTTAGCGATAGAAACCATAAGGGTTAGAGTTGTAGAGGGAGAATAAAGCGATGGTGGAAAGTGAGGGGTTTTCACAAAGTGTGTAAGAAGAAACGGAGGGATGTGGTTCTCTTTTATGGAGAGAAAATAGGGAAGTCCTAAAATAGAAGATGAATGAAAATGGTGAGATTGCAAGGATAGCAGAGAGAATCTTTACCTCTATCTAAAAGATAGCACAATTTAGAAGATAATAGAAAAGAGAAACTCTTGGTACTAAGAATAGAGACAATAGATAATAGTAGAGAGTCAACCTCACAGCAGAATGTGGCTCTCATACCAGTGAAAGAAAAGAAGAAAATGAAAGATGGGTTGTCCTCTCCAGGCTACCAGATTGATTGCAATGTGCTTGGATTGTATTTCTCAGAGATCCAGTGTTTGCAAAGCTCTCAAACAAGCTTTTCTTTGATGGTCATTTGCGAGTTGCGACACAGTTAAACCTATTCTATGGACGGTTGGAGTTATTCCAAACATTCGGATGTACCTGGTATCTCTGAGAAAGTGTAATCCACTAACCGTATGGAGAGAAGACTTCATCTCCACAAACCTCTTTTAAAATAAACAAATAGTATATATGCATATAGTTTTAATTAGATAAAAAACAAACCTATATATAGTTTTAATTAGATAAAAAACAAACCTATATATAGTTTTAATTAGATAAAAAACAAACCTGTATGTCGCATGTATGCGGCCCCCATGGCAATGCAAGTGCCAAAACTTGTTGCTTGAGAAAATTATGAGTACTTGAAATCATTGATAATAGATACAGTTTCTTTAAGGAAAACAGTACTTGTTGTTTTGAAGGTTGGGTATCTTAAGAGCCTGTAGGAAAGCCAGACATTATCCCATTTTCTTCAAAAAATGATCGAACTAATAGAAAACCATGTAACTGTTGTTTAACTTTTTAACTAGCATGTTATTATATGTGTTTCAACTATTTTCACTCATGGTGCTTATAGTTGTGCAAGTTATATGAGGAGAAGCTTTGCCATCACGTCTTGGAATCTGCGAACTTTCTCATTTGTGCTGTGTTTGCAGAATGTGTTGGGGCTTCTCAGGACAATGTATGCTGTGGTCACCATAGAGGAAGATGCTTCATTTCTTCAATATGGATACCTCTCATCAGCAAACTCCATAACCATCAGGAAGGAATTAATGAAGCTTTGCAGTGAGCTAAGGCCACATTCACTAGCCCTAGTCAGTTCATTTGGGATTCCTGATGCGTATCTAAGCCCAATAGCATTTGACTGGATCGTTGCCAATTCCTGGGCTTCTGTTCAGCCCTGAGAATTCTCTCTCTCTGCTGTTGCCTTTCCATAAATGCGATGGCCACAATCAAGCATTCTGTCTTGTTTGCAGCATTGCTTGTGTGGTACCCACCCCAAAATAATGTTTTGAGTTTTTGCCACCCTATGGCAAATCAAGGTTATGACAATAAAGGTTCTCCACATTTCCAACACTAAGAGCTTTGCAAGTCATCTTGAGCCAACTTTGTTCTCTTGTACGAATCTTGTTCCCGCCTACGTACCATCATGTTTGTTTCATATCTGAGCGCATTTGAAAGTGTGGCAGGCATTGACTGGATGTTACGTGAAAGGCATATAGAGGGGGGGGGAGATGGAGTAATAAATTATAAGAAAAATTATGTTCGTACCGTACAAAATTACAGAAAATACGGTCCAATACAATTATAAAAATATAACACACGAGGATACCGGTCCTGGCTTCGCAATATCGGTTAAGCTCATCCCAGCTTAACTGTATCGATGATTTGGGGCATTTTGTTGTTAAGCCTAATATTTAGGGTGCTAGTGTCTTTTTTTATTATTTCAAACTTTCATATTTAGATGGAAAAATGATATCCCATGCAACCCCTAAAACGGAAAATGACATTTAATTTCCTCCTTACCTTTTTCATTGTTCAAATTATAAAATGCATCTTTTGTTTTAATCACCGTCATTTAAATCTCAAAAAAGTTATTCTCTTTCTCTTTCTTCCTTACATGTGGACCTCTTCTTCCCTCTTTTCCCTAGCAACCTTCCATGAATACTTCTCTCTTTTTCATCTCGTTCACATGTGGACCTCTTCTTCCCTCTTTTCCCTAGCAACCTTCCATGAATACTTCTCTCTTTTTCATCTCGTGGACTTCAGTAAGTAAAATAAACGAGGTATCACGAACTCAATTTTTATGATAAGGTTATTAGAAAAAAGAAGAAGGATTAATTATATAATTTGGACTATGAAAAAGGAATGAGAGGGTTAAACATCATTTTTTATTTAACATGGGGGTTTCATGGGTTCTTATGGAATCAGGGTTATTTGGGATCACAATTTTGGAGAGGGCGGTGTACGTCTTTTTCCCAAATATTTATGCCCCAAAGATTATACTTTTGGGGGCAGTTCCAATCCTATATTCAATCCTTTGGGAAATCATGTTGCCTCCAACTTATGGGGATGTAGCCTCTCTATGACAAACTTCATAAAAGGAAAAAAAAAAACATTAAAATTTGTGCAGAATAACATGTGCCTAAAAAATGTCTTGAACTTGTATGAAGACCGTCCAACTTTTCGACAATCATGTTGTAGCTGAAAATCTAATTTTCTTTTTAAAATATGCTTTGGGTCTTTCTAAAGTGGATCCCAAAATTTCCTGCCGGAAAAACCTACTAAGCGGTATTTCTACTAGAGATAGTAAATGTATTTGTGTTTTTATACATGTAGGAGTACGTTTAACACACTCATAGTTATCTGTTTCATATATTTTTTTTCACTTTTTCAATATAGAAAAATTTTCAAATAATGAGAAAAATCCAAATATGAGAAAAATCAAATAATGAAAGGAGAGAACTGCTTCCTTCTCCAATTAGATCAAGGGAACTTTGAAATAAATGAATTAAAAAAAAGCTTCTAACAATTTAACAAAAATCTTTTAAAGTAAACTAATTGAGATAAAAATTAATTCTTCGAAACTCTTTGAAATATTGGAATTTATATGTGTTCCAATAGAATTTATAAAATATGAGAAGAAGATAATTATATGAAATATGATAAAGTTATCAAATCATACCTAAAAGTTGAACTATTTAATATTTCACCAATATCTATTAGTCTAATTTCAGATAGTTAAGTATTTTTTTATCAAATTTAAAATAGTTATCACATAATATTTGGAGTTTCACAAAGAAAAAAGTTTATATAAGGTTGAGGCCCTAAACAATTTACTAGAAGATGTTATTTTGATGCTAAAAAACCCTCAATTCCATCATCTCGGCCTCAAGACATATAGATACGCGAAAAAATAGATTTTATGTTTTAGAAATAGTATATCTTGTAATGTGTTTTCTAAACCGTCAATTTTCAAAATTTTCAAGTGTTCATAGATCTGCTTGATCTATATTATTTTGTAATATTTAAATTCTATAATTAAATATGAAAATAATTTTTCATATCATCACAAAGATTTATGATACTGAAACATGTTTCAACTCCACTTGAAGGTGTGCTTTACTTTGATTGGTTAGACCTTTAGACATACACGAACCACACCTTTTATCAAATCACACATATTGATAATATTAAATTTTCCTTGAAAAATTCTATGCGTGATGTGATAAGGGACTTAGAATCTAAAATACATATGTTTTAGACGTTTAGGATGTAAAACACATTTTAAATGATTAGAAATATAATTCCATTATGGATCCATCTTTTTGCATCTCCAATTGTGGTGTGAATCTGATGATTTATAAGAAGTAAAATGATTGATGCAAAACAATAGTTCACAAATTACCTTCTAAATTTTATTTATTTTTACATATTCATGACCATTATAGTCGAGTTTATTGATCCCTCGAAATTTGGATCATCTATCTCTAAAAAGAATTTTGGAGGGGGAATATATACAAATAAGTTTGTCACCTGATTTGCCAAAAACCTCACCCATAAATAAAGTTCCATTGAGAAGTTTGAAATAAGAGAACGTTTGGGTGGCATGAAAAAATAACTTTAGAAAAATAAATTTACATAAAAGAACTCTCCCATGACAGGAGCTATGAATGTTTTTTCACACCAATTGGATCATCTCTATGGTAAACATTTTTGCCATGGACCAATTTGTGTGAAAAAGCATTGTACCTCCTGACGTATAAGGAGTTCTTTCGTATGAAATTATTTTCATACAAACCAATCGTATCCTAAGAAAAAGTCTATGGCGAGTCACCAAACTCATTAGTCCACCTATCTTTTCATGGATTCAAGATGTAAAACACAATCTTAAACCATAGATCCATTTTTTTCAAGTGCCAAAATTGGTGGAGATTTTGAAGAAGTAAAATGGACAATATTGAAAAAATATAAAAAATATAAAAATTTATTTATCTTTCCGGATTCATGATCACATGGTCAATATTATCAAGTCTCAAAATTTTAGATCCAAAATCCGATGCGGGAGTTTGGAGGAAGGGAGACAGAGGGGCACAAATAAAGGGTGCATTAGTACCACCATAACCTCACCTTGGGAATAACTGGATTAGACTTAATGATAAATCATTTAGACAAGAAAAAAGTTTGTATAAGACACTACCATGATGACCAGGGCTACAACCTTATCACCATGTGATTCTTTTGGATGGTGGATATCAACCCTAATACAAGATGAGGGAAAACCAGTGCACAAAAAGCTCAACTCCCTCTTTCTTGTAGAAGTTGATTTGAGTGTGGTTTACAGCAACATAACCTCGCTCTCCCTTGAGGTTAGGATTGGGTTGCAATCCAATTCCTGATGTGTTTGCAAGTTTCCCTCCTTCCTGTCAGTTCATTTGAAATGGGTATCAAGGTTTCACTGTTTTTTATCTCCCTCTCTCTCTCAAGCTCTCCTTAACATAAGGATTGTAGATTGAATCCTAAACAAAAATTATTAGGGCCTGTTTAGTAGTGGGAAGTTGGGGATTGCCTAGAACCAATATGTTCTATTTAAGTAGTGCAGGCCAGTGATTTCATGCAATGGTTGTATAGTAATATAATGTAACAACTTTCAAAAGTCATGTTAGGGCCATTTGTTTTACTCAAATTTTTAAATGTATATTTTTTTTCATTCTAATAAACAATAAAAAATAAAATAAAAATTTGAAAACACAATCTAAAAAGTGTTTTTTAGCCCAACTAACATAGGCCGTCCATTAGTGAGATGCTTAGATCTTCTAGGCTTTAAAATGATCTTTTTCCTTTCTAAATTTTTTAGATAACTTTATTATCATTAGATTAACATTATTAAAAAATAAAAAATTGATTTTGTATTCATAAAGGCTTAGATCTTGAAATCACCAAATGGACGGTCTACATTCATTATTGGAGGGGACTCATTTTGACCAAGGTACAATTTTTTTTTTTTTTTTAGATTGATTATTGAGATGAATAGAGTGTATGTGTAAAATTTTAAATCATACAAATACCACAAATATGGTTTTCTAGAAATATGGTTGTATTATACCATGCTACAACCGTTGCATGAAATCACTGCAAATAACGTATAGATTTAAAAAACATGTTAAATCTACATAGAAAGTGTAGAAGATTACAACCTCCCTTCAAGGTCGGTTGCCACCTTATATAAATCGCACCTCTTGAAAAAAAGTAAATGACCTTGATGCCCTTTTAAACTAACAATCTTGCATACACCTCGGGTCCATGAAAATCCCATGAACCCCAAAGTTAATAAAAATGATCTAAGAACCCCTAATACTTATTTTACTTTTTTCTTTCCAAAAAAATATCCTTTTCTTTTTTGCTTATTCCCAATAATCCAAATCACATTCACTTCTCAATTTAATCCCATCAACCTTCTCTTTCCTCTTTCCACCCTGTTACATTTGCCCCGTTTCTTTATATTTACCCATGACCCTCCTTCCTCTCGTCTCTTCACTAGTAACCTTCTCTTATTCTCTCTCTACCCATGACCGTCCTCCCTCTCAACCCGGTTACCCTTCTCCCTTTCTCTCTCTACCCCATTACGCATGTCCTTACGCTTCCCCCCTTTCTCTTTCTACTCGATTAACATTTTATTATTTGTAAGAGTAGATAATTGATATTCTTCCTCTCACCTTCCATGGGAGTGAGAGTTGACGGAATTAGAAAAACGAAAACCTTTGTATAAGGTTGACACCTTAAAATGTAGAATCAACATGCAGTTCTAAATTTTTTTTAAAACAGGTTATTTTGATGTTGGAAAAATATCTAATTAATCACCTCGACATTGAGAAGTATAAATCATCATCATCATTAAAGCCTTATCTTATGATTTTTGGGTCCACTACATGAATCATGTTTTTCCATTCTTCTCATTAAGGGTCATACATTCAGTAATACAAAAAATCATCACATATTTTCTCACTACTCCTATTCATGTTCTTTTGGGCCCTACCCTTGGTCTTTTAGAGCCTTCCACTTTAACCAAATCATACTTCATAACCGGTGTTGTATAGATCTATGTTGCATATAGTCAACACACCTAGTTCTAATTTTCCTCATTTTATGGCCTATTGAATCAATACCCAGTTCTCTGATATGTATTCATTCTGAATTTGATCTTTGTTTGTTTGGTCACTCATCAATCTCAACTACGCTCATCCTATGAATATGTTATATCTCGACATCCAACATTTTTCCCCATATAGCATGGTTGGTTTTACAACTATCCTATAGAACTTATCCTTCAATCTCAATGGTATGCATCGATCACAAAAAATTGTCTCCACTTTGCCCATCCATTTTTAATTCTATGTACGACATCTTCCTCAATCTCTGCATTCTTTTGGATTATCGGCTATAGATATTATGAATAATCTCTTTTAGGTATTTCTTGACCTTCAATCTTTAACTACTTCTTCGTTTGTACTTTTATCATTACTAAAACTCTTATTTCATATATTTTGTCTTAGTCAGGGTAATTTTAAAGCCTTTAGATTTTAAAGCATCCCTCCAACATTCTAACTTTGCATTGATGTTGTCTCTTGTTTCATCTATCTAAACTTTATCATATGCAATATAGCCTCTAGTGACTCTTTTCTTTTCCAGCACCTATCAAATTAAATCTCTAGGTCCCCTATCATATGCTTTCTTTAATTTAATAAAGACCATGTATAAGTATTTTTTCTTCACCTTAAACTTCTCAATCAATTGCTTCGATAGGAAAATGGCTTGATAGTCGATATCCTCGGCATAAAACCGTACCAATTTTTTGATACACTCATTTTACACTTTAGTCATTGCTCAACCACTCTCTGCCACTTAGGGCTGGCAATGGACCGGACTTGACCCAAACCCGATGGGTATACCCAAAATTGGTCCAGGTATGGGTCTAGGTTTTGGACCCACAAGTAAGGTATGGATCCAATAAATGATATCCGAACAGTCTCAAGTATGGGACCAGACTTGACCCAAACACAATGGGTATACCCAAAATTGGTCAAGGTATGGGTCTAGGTTTTGGACCCACAAGTAAGGTCCGGATCCAATAAATGATATCCGAACAGTCTCAAGTATGGGTACATGTATAGGTTTTGGACCCACAAGTAAGGTCCGGATCCAATAAATGATATCCGAACAGTCTCAAGTATGGGTACATGTATAGCAGCTATATCCAACGGTACCCTGACCCATATTTATTATATATTATACAACCTTAGATTTAATTCTTTAAACAAAGTCCGCCGCCCTATTTATAAAACATACACCATTATATATACACCTTCGATGTGGGATTAATTCCACGCAAGTATCCTTGATTCGTCAAAACACAAATTTTTCTATTGGGGAAAGTTTATCAAATTTTTCAGTTGGGGAAAGTTTATTAAAGAGATGTTATGTTGTGCTTTAATAAGAGATGTTATATTATAACGGGTGGGGCCAACGAATATTACTAGGAAGTATAAAGCACAAAGCGTGGCAGCGCCATTACATCGCCGCAAGATAACGTCGTTCCAGCTGCCTACGAATAAATGGGATGTATAGGTAGGGCCCACAGGTAGTTATTTGTTGGGAACCTAAAAAGCCTAAGGGCCTGGTGCCAATCGATTAAAGAAAAATTAGAGGGAGAGAATGGGTGGGATTAATCCCACATGGAAGATGTGAATAGATTAATGGGCGAGTTATAATCAAATACACTAGAAACTTGCTGGGTGTAGGTGTGAGTGTGAGTGTGAGTGTGAGTATCTACTCGGATACAGGTGTGAGTGTGAGTACCCACCCGGGTATAGGTTTTGTATTTTTGGACCCGTTGAGTACAGGTCCACAAGTAATATTTTTAGTATGGGTATGGGTTTAACGAGATCCGAATCATATTTGACACATTATTACCCCTGGGATCCGAATCATATGTGGCACATTATTACCCTTGTACAGGTCCACAAGTAATATTTTTAGTATGGGTACGGGTTTAACGGGATCCGAATCATATTTGACACATTATTACCCTTACTCCCACTGGTCCACAAGTAATATTTTTAGTATGGGTACGGTTCAACGGGATCCGAATCATATTTGGCACATTATTACCCCTACTCCCACTGGTTCATAGTGTGTGTGGTTCATAAGTTTAATTCTTCTATATTTCGTACAATAATCTTATAAATCTCATTTGTTTTTGTGGATAGGTATCACATTATTTCTTTATCTATTTGTCTAGCAGTGTCTTTGATCTCGGCACCTTGTTGAATCACTTGGTGAGTTATAGTATGTCAATTTCCTCTATGCACTTTCAAACTTCTATCATGATACCATTTGGTCTTAAAGCTTTTTCTATCTTCATCTTTCTCAAAGCTTCTCTTAAGATATCCTAATATTATGAATGTAACTATAACATCTGCCCTCATTTATGCCAAATGTTCCTCCTCACGTCGTGTTCCTATATAGTATTCGTTATTTAAAAATTTTTTAAAATAAAATTTCCATATTTTGTTGACCTCGTCATTTTTTATCAGGATCCTTTGATCCTCACTCTTAATGCATCTAAGGTGATCTAGATCCCTATATTTTTTCTTTCTCATTTTTGCTAATTTGAAGACATTTTTTTCATCATCTCTTGTTCTTAGTATATATATATTATCATAGGGGAAAGTTTATATAGAGCCGAGGCTCTAAACAATCAAATTTGAGCCTACGAGGTTGTTTTGATGATATATCCAAATTGATCATCTCAACATCAAGAAGCATGGACACAAGAAAAAAATGGATTTCAAGTTTTGAAAATAGTGTATTTGTAACGTATTTTTGGGACCATCAATTTTCAAGATTTTCATAAATCTGGCGATCTACACTATTTTTAAAGCTTTAAAATTTATAATTAAATATAAAAATATATTTTAAGGCTATCACAAAGATTTCCAATTTTAAAACTATATTCTCAACACTAGTTGAAGGTAGGTTCCAATTTGATTGTTTAGAGCCTAGGCTCTATACAAAATGCACCCATTATCATATGCTTGAAGTTTAATTTTATTTACCATTTTTTAGCAGGTTTTTAATATTTTTATATTTTTTAAGTTTTAATCATTTCTAAGTTATATAACATGATTATTTTTCGCTAATAGCCTTCTAAATCTCCTCACTCCACCACCATGTTTCTTTGTCAAAAAATTTTTTCCCTTTAGTTTCTCCTAAAATTTCTTTTGCCGCCATTTGAAATATAGTTGACCATCTCAACACGTTATTTGGACGACCTATTTTCAAGATTTTCATGTTTTTATAGATCTGCATGATTTGAACAAATTTTAAAATTAAAAAATTTATAATTAGAGATAAAAATAAATTTTAGTACTATCCAAAAAATTTTCGATACCAAAATTGCATCTCATCACAACGTTTGAAGATGCGCCATACTTTGACCGTTTAAGATTGCAACCTTATGCAAACCACACCCATAAGAAAGATGAGGGGAAATTGATTTAGACAACCAATAAATGAAAAAGAAAAGTACACGTTTGAGAAAAAAAAAGATGAAATAGGGATCAGGGGGATTCTCCGACTTTTTTTATAAACTTTGAGTGGACTCAAGGGTGTACACTGGATCCTTAGATTAATTAGAGTTGTATCTCTTTTTTCCATGGACCCAGGGATGACACAAGGTGTTGTACAGTCTCATAGCAATTCTTTTTAAGAGTGAAAAATGGTTTGAGAGGGCTGCAGCCCTGTCAAAATAGTTAAGCCTCACCTCAAAACTCATAAAAAATTAGGCATCGAAAAACCTTCAAAGTTAATCATCTCGGCTTTGACTATATTAAAAAAATAAATAAAAGGATTTCGAACTTGCTTTCGCTATATTAAAAAAAAGGTTAGAATTTTAAACTTTAAAAATATGTATATTACATATAATATAGACTATTTTTAAAAATAAGTATTCACATATCTATATATTTTTTGAGCTTAAAATTTCAGCAACTTGTTATGCACAAATTACCTTTCGAACGAGGAATTGAGATGAGGCTTTACTGTGTTTTCATAAAACCTAGGGCCAGCAAAAAGTGCACCATTTAATACCGAAGGTAAACGTAGAGAGAGGGAGAGAGACTATCTTCTGGACCAGAATAATACCCGGTCACTTAACGATCCCCAGCCCGGCTGCGTACCCCTTATTATTTGCAATTTATCTCTGCTTCACCTCAAATTAGATCTCCGTCTGTTTTTTTCGCGATCACCGGCGATTCCTTGCTCCTAACTCTCGAGGTACACTCTTCCTCCATGCGCCAGGAGCTTCTCATTTTCCCCCCTCTCTCTCTCAAACTCGTTTGCGGAACTTCGTGGAGCCACCCTTTTCACAGCTTCTTCATGTCTTTCATTCACCCATTCTGTCATCTACTTATAAGAAACCTCTTGATTCTGTAAAAGAACTTAGAATGCCATTATCAATTCCTCTAATTTTTGTATCTTGTGCAATATTTGGAGTGTGGAGTCATCTCCACAGGATGTTTATGACTCTTAACTATAGCCTCTCCTCATATTTAAGGACTTCGAGTGAGACTCTTGTAAACTTATGCTTGCTTTGTCATGCCATGCACTAAACTTGGTGCTTGTCGGAAATTCGAAGAGAGACTTCAGACAAAATATGTATCTTGATTTTCCTAATTATAGGCCCTCTTAAAAAAATTGAAAATTTTCTTTTTATATTTTTGAAATTCTTGCACTGAGCTTGTCAAGAAGGTTGGTTTACTGCCCATTATGGTTTCGTTCTGTTTTATGACTTATATAAATGCCTGCTATTCCTCAAGTTGCTTAAATATTTTTTTGTGCCTTCTATCTCATCTGCAACTGCGGTTTTGTTACAGGAAATGATGCTTAGAAGGATGATCAGAAAAGGTTGGAATCTTGGATGACTCCGCTTCATAAAGTTTTCAATTCTATCACATCTAGTCACTAGCTAATACACACTACTAGTTACATCAAACTGATAAATGTTGTTAGACAAAAGTTGCTTATCAGGGTGTAATTTTCAGGGCCCTCATTTCTTTCATTTTTAGAGTAATTTCTTCAATTATTTGTCCTTTATTGTGAATAGGTTATGAAGGTGCACTTTATTGCTTACCATATTAACCCCCCATTCTCATTTTGTTTAATATATTTAATTGACGATTACTATATCCAATGGCCTGTTTTCTTTGATCTGATATGATGTTTGCATATTTCTATGGAATCTCAGTCTCTCATTTATGGTTGTGACAATAAATGAGGATTCTTCATATTCTTGCGGATGCATTTTGACAATCAAACCTTTATATGACCTGTAGAATCACTTTCTGCATGAGTTTTAGTAGTTATGGTAGATGTTGATCACATTCATTCTGAAATATTATGAATAATCTGGAATACTTTTTATATATATGCTTGTAAAAACTTATACTTTTTGCAGGCCATATTTTTTCTTTTTCACGATCATGGCATTCACTCTCAAAGAATATTCAAGGATCTCTCAATCTCTATTTGGAGCCTCTGGTGAGCATCTGTTATCCGGACATGCATTTATAAAACTGTCTGAACTGACTTTTGTATCTATTCCTTGGGGCATTTTGAGTATTTGTCCATTGCCATGTCTGGTCTGTTCAGGAATGGTCCAACTAGCTTAGTGTTGTTATTCATATTCTGGTGACTTGGTCCAACTAGCTTAGTGTTGTTATCAGTATTCTAGTGACTTTGTAAGCTACATAAATATGGACTGCTAACAGATATGATTGACTACAAGTGAAAAATCCCGCTAGTCTTTGTGGTGTCCTTTGGGTAATAATTTGCCACTTCTGTTGACTATTTGACATGTTGATTTTGTAGTCTTTTGATGGTATCCTTTGGTAAAACATGTACAGAGTTCTAAGCAATATCTGGACTACTGTCTTATTCAATTTATTTGAATATGTCACGATAGGAAACTTCCGGCAGAAGAGGATATGTTTCCAAAGCCTACTTTGGTAATAATAAAGGATGGACCCCTTATCTCTTGACACAGGGTCCAGCCCTCAAGAGTGGCAAGGCAGAGCTCCAAAGTTCAGGTCAAAGATTTTCTATGCTATTGGAGGTTTTAAAGGTCATGAAAAATATGGTGCTTCAACTAGCTTCTTATTCCTTAATCTTTATTTGTTCGTGTATTACATGATTGGTGCTTAGCACCAAATATCATTTCAATTCGTCTTTGAATTGGGTCATCTACTTAGTTTTCTTCCTGCCCATTGACAGCACATGATGTTCTATGAATACCTATAACATGGACTCTAAAGGAAATAAACTGCTTACATTCTTCTCATTATTGATTACCCATCACAAATGCTGCTGATTAGGAAGTTAAATTGAAACAAGATAGGTTACTTTTTGAATCCTTCTTTAAATTTATGATGCATTAGATTTTTCCATGCAGGTTGTTCTTTTTTGGTTAAATGAAAGATTATTTCATTAATATATCTTGTAAAAGGGTATTTTTATCATTTTACCTCACATGTGCATTTCTCTGTCTCTATGCACACACATGTACATGCACCAACATGTATATGTAGAACATATAGGTACCATATCTTACCTGAAAATGTTTTATTTTTTTTAATCAAGTTTTCTTAAAACTTTTTATGGAAACCTAAAATGATCTTATGTAGTATTTCTGCAGAGACGTAATTTTTCAACAACTGGAGGTGGTGTTAGTGATGAAACCTATGAAAAGGAAAAGTAAGTGTGTGACTCGTCGTTTCAAGTGTTGTTAATGGTGATAAATGGATTGAGATCTTTTCTTTCTTATATAGAGACAATCTGATTATGTAATCATTGTTGTGAAAAGCATCTTGTGGCTTTCTGCTGATATTAGTGTACAATAAGGCAACCATTTATTGTAACTATTCCTTGAAGTGGTTGAATAAGATGGTCTTATCACGCCATATGTAGACTGTTATCCTTTTGTGACTTATCCTTCTCTAAGCTGTCCTTAAACCCTTGTTTAAAGCCTTTCCACTGTTCATATGTCTGATATGTTTTGTTGAAGGGAGGATACAATATCAGCCAATGCTTCTGAATTACCATGCATTAGGATGCTCTACCCTTTCTCCTTTGGAAGGATATTTGCAAAGACTGATTGATCTAATGCAACTCCTAACAGATAATGGCAAAGTGGCATTGGGTTGGTGAAGTTCTATTAAGTCCAAGTCAGGCCATTGAATTAGTTGTCCTCAACAATCGGTGAATCTTAGGACTGTGTGTACATGCGAATACCATGAGTAGGACCCAGGCTTGGGGACCATTAGACTCTTAGATATCTAATGGGCCAAAGTAGGCTCGAAAAGTTCTCCCAATGCCTTCCTGGAAAATAACACCACAAGCAGTGGCTTGGGGTTGTCAGAAGCATTGCATTAAATCGGAGCTTCATAGAGCCCTCAGGCAGGAAGAAGATTTTATTAAGTTATAGGTTTTAGAGAAATATCGTGATTTAGCTTAGAATGGATATATATGTTCTTAGAAGTCATGTAAGTACTTCAAGGAAACCTTTTATCATTTGTTAGGTCCGTGGGTAGTTGGGTGGGGCTGGGCACTAGATGCTTAGAAAGTGAATATTGAAAACTCCTCGTTCTCTTTTGATTGTGTTTGAGTCCCTAAGGACTTTTTGTCCCTCTTTTCACTTAAAGGGCACTTCCGTACATAATTAGAATATGTAATTAACGTAATAGAGTAGAGAGGTTCATGGAGGTCAGTTTAGACTAGAGTAGAGAGATGTGTGGAGGTCTAAACTTAGTTTAAACTCCATGTGACTCTCTCTTTCACTCTTCTCTCAAAGTGTCTCTCCTTGTTTTTCTTTCTAACTGACCTTTTGATCGCTTTGATTTCTTCTTTTTTTTCCGTTCTTCTTTCCATCGTTGCTGCAGTATTTTTAACTTGGTATCAGAGCAAGTTTGCTTTGAGAGGTTTATTTTGAAACCCTAAAGGTGTGTGCTGGCTGAGCGAAGGTCTCCAAAAGCCGTATTGTCAGAATCCCTAGATCTGAAGGAAAAAAGGGTAGGTATGAAACTTCAAATTTGAAAAAAAAAAGAAAAGAAGGTATGGAATGAAAAAACCCCAGTTTCACAGTTCCTTCATTAGGTTTTGATGCGAGATCAGAAACCCTAGATCTGGTTGGAATGGTTCGACGGTGTTAAAAGTATGTTGTTGGACCCCTTAAATGGATCAAACCCTTGTTTGTTAGTTGTGAAACACTCTTTTTCCAGATCTCTAGTATGGATTCTCAGGTCCCTGTTCAAAGTGTTCTTGAGCGGCTGGCTGCTGTGTTGATGAGCATGCCAGTCAATATGTCTAGTATGAGTGACTCAGACCATTCTTCTGCCTTCCCAAATACTCTAGGTGTAACCACTCATATGGGTATCCATAAAGACAACCCTGGACTGCATATTACTATTGTCAAACTCGATGGAATAAGTAGTTAGAGCAGTTACAGTCTACAAAAATGTTCACTGGTGCAAGTGGGCAGTGGGGGTATATCAATGGTAAGATTATTGAACCCAAAGAAGCAGATCCTTTACATGAGAAGTGGGAAACTGAAAATCTGACTGTTATGTCTTGGTTACTACACTCCATGCAACCATCCATTAGTAGGGGTTCTTTGTTCCTTTCAACTGCGACAAAGATTTGGACTTCGTACATCAAACTTACTTGTAAAGCAATAACGTAGCTTGAGTTACCATCTGAGGCAAGAAATTTCCCATCTTCAACATGGGGGATGTCTCTTGTAGCGTATTTTTCATTTCTTCGTAGTTTGTGGGAGGAGTTGGACCACTATCAAATGTTTAAACCGAAGGCAGATCGAGAGAAAGAGTTTGTACAACAGAATTGAATTTTTGAGTTCTTGGTGGGATTGAACCCAAAGTTTGAATTAGCTAGGATTTAAATACTGAATAGGGGTACTCATCCATCGCATAACCACGTGTCCAAAGTGAGGAGAGTTAAAAAAAGTCCTATGCTGCCTGGTTAAGTTATTGATCAGTCTGCCCTTGTTGGTTGCAAATGAATTTATACATTAAAACATAAGGCTGATGGTACAATTGACTGATAAAATGCACAATGAGTTTCAAGAGGTTCACTCAAACTTATGGAATAGACTATCAGGAGACATTCGCTCATGTTGCTAAGATGAACTCCATTCCGGTCCTTTGGTCTTTAGCAGCTAACATGGAATGCTAGATGTCAAGAATGCGTTCCTTCATGGCAACTGCAAGAAGAAGTGTGATGGTTCCTCCACCTGGATTTAGGACTTTTGGATATGAGGGAACAATATTTAGATTAAGAAAAGGCCATCTATAGACTAAAGTAGTCTCCCCAAGCCTGGTTCGAAATGTTTTGCTAGTGTTGTCCAAAGAGTCAGGTATAATTGAAGTCATGCTGACCATACCTTATTTGTGAAAAATACCAGGGTCAGTACCATTGCTTTGATTGTATATGTGGATGATATTGTTGTAACAAGTAATTGTAGCTAAGAAAATTCAGCAACTCAAACTTTATGGCAAGGAAATTTGAAATTAAGGATTTAGGCCCATTGAAATAGAATAGAAGTGCAATGTTAAAGAATGGGGATGCGAGGAGCACCAAAAAGAAAGGCAGAAGAGGGGGTGGGGTGGTTTAATATATTAGATAATATACATTAAGGGGTTGGGGTGCATATACGTGCTATATAATATATAATATAAAAAAGTAAAAGTTAGAGTGAGAAAAGGAGGGTAGAGACCCAACGTCTACCATCGCTCTCTCTCTATATGTAATATCTAATACATGGTTCTATATTATAGTAATGTAATAATAATGTTGCACTATGATACATTATTAATTTACTATAGTGCTATAGTACTATCTAATACTACACAATGTTAATATATAGTACTAATTTGCAATAGTACTATAATATGTAAATAGTAATAAAATAGCTAGTTATGTCGCTTTAAAAGGTGCTCGTGTGTGCGTGTTCGTTGACTCAATAGCTTGGATAAAAGCCAGTAACCAAATGCTCACAATTAAAATGATAGTCTTTTATTGCCTAGAATAAAGCAAGTATGAGGTGGGGACATTCGCACTCATGTCCGGTATAGCCAGCCCTCTTAGACCTTTGATTTATAGAGTATCGGGGATGCCCCTAACCTTTAGGATGGGTGATATCAGAGCTAGTGAGGGCAACCCTCACGCCAGCTGAAGAATCGTTTCCAAGAGCTACCAGAATATACTCAAGACCTCACCCACTCTAAGGCTAGGGGCTAGAAGTGAAAGGTTTTGAAGTTTGGGGTGTTTGAAGCTTAGGTTTTTGTGGGAATTGATTTTTTTTGGATTTTAGACTTCCTAAGAGTTAAGCCTGGAAGTAAGAAGTTCTTGGGGAGTTTTAGGTTCTTTTGGGACTTTAGGGGTACTTTGAGGATTTTGGGAAGAAGCAAGGGTCAATTGGGTAGCTTGGGGGTAATTTGGGGAATTGGGTATACTTTCTCTCTCTGACGTTGGCTCTTCTCAATTGTCCAACCCTGGAAAATGAGGCTTATGTGGGTTTATATAGTGGTGGGAAAACATGGGTGTATAATCAATAATTGGGTGGGTGGAAAATTAGGAATGAGGTTAAACATGTGTGGATTATCAAAATTCAATTCGAGTTACCCCTGAAAATCACTAAAAAGGACACCCGAACTTAGGAATTTTGGATGATTTACCCTTAGGGAGGCTTCCTTCTTCATCAACAATGTTAAATTTGGCAAGTTATGCCCCATTTTAATCTTAACTTTTCATTTTTTGGCAAGATTTTTTCATGCTTCGTTCATGGCTCTCCAATGCATCCTTATTTAATTTCCATTTGAGGATCAACCACCAAATTCATGTGAAGAGTCTTGAGATCATCGTTTGGCGTGATTTTTGGCTCAAGAGATCATTTGACCGAGTTATGGCTACTTTATTTCTTTCTATTTTTCGAAGATGTAATGCAAAAATCTTCAAGCAACATCTCTCCACAATTTTTCCCTCAATTTGACTTTTATCTTCAAATTTTATACATTGATATGAGCGGCGCTCAGTCAGGAATCTTCCTTTCAGATTTTGGTCCAAAAGACTTCTTGGATCATGTGATATTGATTCGGGAATGATCGAAGGTCATAGGGGCTGCAATTTTTTCAAAAACTTCGATTCCTCTTCTTTTTCCCTCAAATTAGTCGTGATTCAACCAAAGAACCCCCTTGATATGTATACTGTTTGAAAGCTCATGTAACAAGGAACGACATACTGAGATTTCGGCCCATTTTTTGCAGCTGTTGCAATTCCCTTAGCTTGCTAGGCCATATGGTTTACTATGGTTTTTTTTAGAAAAAGATTGATGGTCCACCTGTGGTTCAACCAAGAGATCCTTAGAACAAGTACTTCCGGACATTGGATCAGGCTGGAATCTAGAGGATGGGATTTTCGTATTTGCATTTTCTTTTCATAAAATTTCTAGCCACTTTGGCCACTAATTTTTTAAGGATACTTTATAAAAGTAAGCCGAAATAGTGTGCACCCTCACTAAGTTTTACATAGCTGTAATGGCCATATCTCATTTATTTGACCTTGGATTGAGCTCAAATTTGAAACTTAGCCCTTTTATAACATATCTTCCCTTCTAATCTATATAATATATAGTACTTTATAATACTATATATACAATTTATATTATATGGTACTATACCATA